AGTACTGATATTGTAAAGTGTCAATTTTAAAAAGTACATGCAAAATGGATTAAGAACCAGCTAACTGATCGATCTCTAATTGTCAACGGGGAAATCATCATTGAACGGGAGTGATTGTAATTGTGGCAGGATCAATACTAGGTCCAATGCTATTCAACATTTTTGTCAATGATCTGACAGTAAACATCAAAATCATTGCTGATAAAAGATGACACAAAGATTGTTGGAGTGGTAAATAATGTGAGGATAGGGTAGTCATACAGAGCAATCCACATTGCTTTGTATGCAGGGCCTATTCAAACAAGTGGCTTTTAATACAGTCAAATGCAAAGATATACATGTAGGAATAAGGTACGTGGGCAATACCTACAGAATGGGGGACTGCATCTTGGAAAGCAGGGACTCTGAAAATGATTTAGGATTCCTAGTGGACAAGCAATTCAATATGAGCTCCCAGTGCAATTCTGTGGCAAAATACGATTCTTAAATATATAAACAGGGGATTAGTTAGTAGGAATAGGGAGGTGATTTTACTTCTGCATATAGTATCGGTGAGACTAAAACTGGACGACTGTGTCCAGTTCTGGTGTCCACATTTTAAAAAGAATTTTGAAAGATTGTAGAGGGTTCAGAAACCCACAAAAATGATTGGAGGGCTGGAGAAAATGCTTTATAGTAAAAGACTTAAAGGGAACCTGTTTAATTTATCAAAAAAGATTGAGAGGTGAGTTAATTTCACTGTATAAGTATTTTCACATGGAGAAAACACCATGTATACTAAAGGGTTCTAATCTAGCAGAGAAAAGCATAACACGAACCAATGGCTGGAAGCTGTAGGTGGGCAAATTCAAATTGGATGTGAGGCACAAATTTTTAACAGTTACAGCAATTTAACATTGGAACAAACTACCAGTAGAAGTGGTGGCTCCTTCACTTCTTGATGTCATCAAAACAAGACTAGATGCCTTTCTGGAAGATGTGCTTTAGCCAAACACAAGTTACTGGACTCAATGCAAGGGTAACTGAGTGAAGTTTACCATCCTGTGATTTCCAGGTCAGACTTGATCTAACGGTCCCTTTTGGCCTTAATTCTTTGACTCCATGAAATATAAAAAGCATAACTGGTGAAAGGTTAGCTTGTGGGATTTTTTTCAAACACCAAGCAATACTTTCAGTATTAACAGAAGTAGGAGTAACACAGACACAAATGCAAAAAATTGCAGATACTTACATTCTCAACAGGGTATGAAATTCCATCTTTAGGCATCACCAGCTTATCTACTCCCTTCACAGTCACCAGAACAGTAGCTCGAGGACGATGAAATATATCACCCACTGCAAGCCCAGGCCAGGAAAGGTCCTGGTAACAAATTTAAAAGCAAAAACTTTTGCTTAGCTCGAAATCAAATCAAACTATATCAAATGATTAATGTAGAGAATTTGCAGTGATATCAATGAATCTTTATAGGAGAACCCACTGGAAACTTAGTAGGGAGTCTAAAAGCTTGAAAGGATCTACCATCCCACAAAAGTGTGTTCCCCTTCCCCCATGGAAGTTTCTTTGTTAATTCTCTTAACAGCAGGCCATCCATAACATTATTGTAAGAAAAAGTGTCATTCACATACTGTACAATGTTGGCTTATTAAATGGCCTATGTGGCTACTGAACCAAGTTTCACAGTTGAGACTGCCACATTCCACAAGATTCACTGAGAGAGTCCATTTACGATGATATTAAAAGCAACTTCCCATGATTTGAGGGAAGTAGCAAGCTTCTCTAGTATGCAGGTAGCTGGAGGAATATTTTTATTCAAATACATGCTTTTTATAGACCAATAATATTTAGCCACAATGGAAAAATACATTGCCGGGATGTTTCTGGTACAACTATAAACAATAAAGGCTCATGATTCTGACATTTAAGTAGAAGTAATTAGGCTCTAAAGCAGTGGAAAGGTTTTGCAACACAGACAGTTGCTTTGGCAACTTGTTAAGTGCAAGAGCTGGGTCTATTTTGCATGTAATTGTATATCTGCAGAAATTACATGAACATTGACCAGGGTATTTTTCAACCACAAAAAAGTTACTCAATACAGGTGTCAGTTTTACAAGACCAAGATAAATACACTTTAAAATTAACCATGTTTGCTATGACCTATATATTCCTTATAGGAGAAAGAGAAATTGATTGAGATCCCCATTAACAGAAAAAAAAGATTAGTTTTATCCCCCCCCTACAGGGAGAGAACGGCAGAAGGATTTGTTTTGGAGACCCCTATTTTAACATTTCAGCCTGTTCAGCAAATGGGGAAGTTCAAATCTTTTACGTGTTTCAGATTGCCCAATAACTTAACAGTGCATTAGTACACACTGTGATCACTTTTTAAAAAAAATTAAAGTTTGAATGCCAGAGGGTCTGAAGGGAGAACCCTAAAAATCCCCTACAGCGAAGTTTCTAATCTCCTAGATTATGATTCATATCAAGACCACAAATTAAGGCTCCAATCCCGCAATGAGCTCCCCACAGCTGCAGGAGTCTGCCTGTATGGAGTTTATTATGGGATCAAAGCCTTAATCATGATACACCTCTACCCCGATATAACGTGACCCGATAAAACACAAAATTGGAAATAACGCAGTAAAGCAGCACTCTGGGGCGCAGGGCTGCACGCTCCGGTGGATCAGCGCGTCTGGCTCCGACACGCTGTTCTGAGCAGTGTGTTAAGGGTGCTGGGCCCGAGCTCAGGGGTTGGATAAGGGGCAGAGGGTCTTGGGGGGCAATCAGGGGACGGAGGGGTGGATGGTTTGGAGGTTCTAGGGGCAGGGCGGTCAGGGGCATTGGATAGGGCGTGGGAGTCCCATGGGGCCTGTCAGGGGGTGTGGGTGTGGTTAGGGGCAGGGGCAGTCAGGGGACAGAGGGATTGGGGGTGATTAGGGTCGGGGGGGGTCCTCTGGATGGAGCGGTCAGGGACTCAGATGGGAGCAGGGGGGCTCAGATGGGGTGGGGTCCTGGGAGGGGGCAGTCAGGGGACAAAGAGCAGGGGGGTTGGATGGGTCAGAGGTTCTAAGCAGTCACTCAGGGGCAGAAAATGACTATTAATAATGGAAATGTTTGAGGCCAAAGCAAGTTCAATATAATGCAGTTTCACCTATAACACGGTTAGATTTTTTGGCTCCCAAGGACCGCGTTATATCGGGTAGAGGTGTACTTGATATCTACTTTCACTTTGTGTGTTTGTTTTTCTGAGTGGAGGAATAGTTAGCTGTAACACAATTTGAAGGGTTTTCCCCTTCCCCACACTCTTCTAACATTTTGTTCTTTATGTGTATGGGGGGAGGGGGGAGCCTGCTAGATCTGGACAGTCCGAAGGGCCCGAAGTTAAGCAGGGACCACTTAGCTTAGAAGAAGGAATAGACTGCTGAACAGAATAAGTTTTCCATTTCATATCACAGATACCCCAGGAAAAGCAGCGTGGTGAAAATCATGTTGCCTAGTTGGCCAAAAAGCATTTGATTTTACCTTGTGCCTCAAGCGGATGTTCAGCGCATGTAGTACATAATCAGTCCTGCTCTATTTAATGGAGAATCTACTAAAACTATTCTTAAGAAGTTCTGCTCTTAGTTTCAAGACAGCAAGTGTAGTTACCTGTTAACAGGGTATTTTCATAGTCCAAAAGATAGCACACAAGAGGCCCTGTAGACATTTTATTATTAATCATTTATATTGCAGTTAGCCCTTTAATTACAGTTTCACTGTAGAGAAGGAAGAACACAAGTTAGATTCCCAAGGTTTCTGAATTTCCTCTTAGTGGTCTGTTTTACTAGTTCCTACTTTATTTCCAGCACATTTTATAACATCTGTGTACCACAACTACAACTGAAAGCTCTCAGAAACAACCAATCTGAATTTTACATTTTACAGCTTTTTCAAAATTAAACCTGAAACATACTTCTTCAACAGAAAAGCCCATGGATAATGCAGCTATGTCTGGGATCCGCTCCCCTGGTATTGGCCAACTTCCATCTCGGAAAACGACAGATTGGGGTGATCGTAAGACACTAAACTCATCACCGGAGACACCTAAAACAGAAACACTATTGACAGGCAAGTCTGGTAAAGCATGAGTTTTTTAAAACCCTGTGAAGCAGATGTGTATTGCAACAACCTCTTCTTGATTCTTATCCTTCCAGTGCACATATCTACCAAGTCAAGAGAGAGAGTTAAAGAGAGCCATAAATTTCAATGTATTAGGATGCAATGGAAAATTCCAGCACAGTTATGTATAGACAAACTGAGGTATTAAACTAAATCAAGGCACAAAAGCATGAAAGAGGTTCTATTAGTAAATTTTTCAATTAGTTATACCATTTTGACCTTGGGGAAAGAGGGGAATGCTCCAAAACCTGATTCTGGATCATAAATTCCAGGCAGGTGTTGACAGTAAATATAAGCCATGATATGACATATTCATACCAACTGAACAAAGCATGTCTCAAGAATTTCAATTTGTTGCTCTCAAAACAATGACAGGCAGAAGAACAGAGGAACAGGTCAACCTATAGTTGTTTGCCAAAAATTCAAGCACTTTTTTATTGATGGCAGCTCATCCTGCTGAACAGCTGCAGTTTTAATAGAGTAAGGACCCTCATTTCTAAGGACTATTTTTCTGGATCAATATGGGTGGGGGCAATTTACAGACTAACAATAATAATACTGGTAGCCTGTCAGCCTTAACATGTTTTTTTACTACTTTACAGGCTACAAGACACTCACACAATTTACTCTGGACAATTTGGCTTACATATGGTATCTGATTTAGAGCTTTTTCTTTTTTAGACCCAATTTTCCTTGCTGGGTTGACAGGCACAAACAGTTAAGTTACTTGCTCAAGGTCACAGTGAGCAAAACTGCATTTAAACTCAGGAGCCAACCGTCTTTCCAGCTATGCTATAATCATTTGACCAAAAATGACTCATTGGGCTACAAGTTCCATGAAGCCTTGGAACACAATTTTGAGTTACAATTCATCAAGCATATTCCTATCCAAACACTGAAGGGTAACGTAATCATAAGGAAAGGAGGACTTGTGGCACCTTAGAGACTAACAAATTTATTTGAGCATAAGCTTTCGTGAGCTACAATGTTAGTCTGTAAGGTGCCACAAGTCCTCCTTTTCTGTTTGCAGATACAGACTAACACGGTTGCTACTCTGAAATGTTTCAGAGTAACAGCCGTGTTAGTCTGTATTCGCAAAAAGAAAAGGAATACAAGGTGCCACAAGTATTCCTTACTCTGAAACGTAATCATAAGGAGTCACCTTATGGGTCAGGTGGTAACTCTTTCCAAGACCAGAAAGTTCTGGCATTAACCACAACTGACACTTTGGGTCACACCCTAGGACACGGATGTCCAACTTGTGGCCTCCAAGGGCAGCTGTGTGAAAGGAGAAGGCCTGTGTTCCACAACTGTTCAACTTTTTGAACCAACCCCATTGGTCCGCCAAAGAGGTAGGGGTACTGCCTCCCGCGCAGCACCTCCGAGGCGAGCAGGGCAGGCTCCCAGCAGCAGCTGCTGCAGAAACGGGTTGGGGCACCGATTCCTCGGGCGATGAAGCTGGTGAGGCTCTGGGAACTTGGGGACACCGCCAGGCTCCGGGCTGCACCGGCGCGTGGATGCGGCTACCCCGGCTCGCTCTGCGGCGCAGCCACACCCGGCAGCAGAGTCCGCCGCGGGTCACCCGCGGGGAGCGGCCCTTCGGCCGTGACAGCGACCGGGCACGCGCCCGCCTTCCCCCGGGAAGCGCCGATCTTCCCGCAACGGCCACCGCCGGCGCTGCCCAGTGACAGGGCCGCGGACTCCGAGGGGAAGTCACGGGAGCGGCCCGGGCTGATCCCAACGGCCCCGTCCGTCAGCGGGAGCCGCGCAGCGACTCAGCGTCACCCGCCCCGCGCGGGCCGGATCCTGTCGGGCAGCGCCCGAGCCAGAGCGTCACGAGACCCAGGCAGCAAAGCGGCACGAGCCCCCCGGCTCCGCCTCGCGGCCGCCCCCGAGCTCGGGCGCCGGAGGCTGCTCACGAGGGAGCGGGCGGCTGTTGAGCCGCTCGTTAGCCTCGGTGACCGCCGCCGCCGCCGCCGCCTCTCCCCGGGCCGAGCTGGGGCGAGCGCGCCCCTCGGCCCCCGCGGGAGGAAGGAGCTGGGGCCCCGCGCTCTGCCGACCCCCGGCGCTTACCAGCCAGGAACGCCGCCGCCAGGGCCCAAAGCATCATCCCCGCCCGCCCCATCCCTACACAGCCACGGCCCGACACCTCGGAGACTGGGGCGGAGCGACACCCGGGCCCCACACACTGAGTCCCACAAACCCCGCCCTCCCAAGAATGCTGACTGACAGTCCCGCTAGCCATTCACAGAGCGCCCATCTGGCAGGTCCGAGGGGCAAGGTGTGGGACTATGTTCTGAGTGACAGGGGAACTGACCACTCATCGTGTGAGGGGTCTCTTCCTCTCCCCTTCCACCCTCTCCCAGTGCGTCACTGCCCCGGAACTGACCGGCCAGTCCCTAGTCCGGGCAGGAGGCGGGGCTTTTTCTTGAGTGATACCCAGCCTGGCCGCTCACAGCGTGAGGGATCGCAGCATAGAGGCCTCGTTGCCGTCGAGAGGGGGGAAAGGGGCGGGGTCACTCCAGCAGCAGGTGGGGTCTACTCATAAATGGCAAGTGGTGTGACCACTCACAGTGCCGGAGATCTACCCCCCTCCCCAACCCCCAGCCCCACTGTGCCCTCTCCTATCCCACGTGACCACTTGTGCAAGAGGCGGGGCCTGGCCGGGATGTGGGCGGGGCATCTACCTGATTGACAGTTAAGTTAACCATTCACCGTGTAAGGGGTCGCTGCTCCACCCTCTTCCACACATAGATGAGGAGACAGGCCCAGCTGCCTTGGTGGTTCAGTGTGGCCAAGCTGGCTGTTCCTGGTGCAGGTGAGGGCTGCCATGTGTTTATAATTATTGTCTCAAGCCAGGGTGTGTGGTAGCACCCCTGGTCCAAGCACCACTGGCAGAGTATGGCAGCCCCTTCCCCACCTTGCTATAGAGACTGCTCTGAGAGCAGGGTCTCTCCCGCCCTGGCTGTGTGCCTCAATGACTCCCTGCTCGCCCCAGAGTGATGTGCGTGACACTTGCTTTGCTGCCGCTCTGACCCCTGCCCTGCAATGCTGCCCCTGGGGCCAGAGGGCGTGGGGTAGCTGGTGTGTGGTGCACTCGGCCTGACGGCAGTGAAGGTTGGCGGGAGCCTGCCAGTGGCTCCCAGCCTTCTTCAGAGTGGTGTCAGCCTTTGCTGGTAGCCCTGGCTGCCACCCTTGAGGCTGCTGCTGGTTCTTGTTGGTAACAGGAACATGCTGTTGGGTACTTATGCCCTGCTTCTGTGTGTTGTTCATAACAGCTGTAGCAAAAGCTCCCAAAGACAGTGGCCCTGGCAGGGATTTCCTTACCCCTCCTCAACTCCCTCATCTCCCCCTGCCCAAGTAATCAATTAGCTACATGTAGTGTTGCTAGTTTAGTTTTCCAACTAGATTTAGTTGTTTTAATTTTTTTCTAGTGGGGGGAATTCCATTTAGTTTTTTATTAGAAATTTAAATTGAAAATGAAACATTAATACTATGGTGAACATACAATCACATTTTGCCTGGGACAGTTCCTTTTTAAAGCGCTGTTCTGGCTATCCCAATTTTTTTGGCAAAAGCAGGGTGCAGAGGAACATGTGAGGGTGAGTGGTGATGGCAGCCCTGTGCAAGGGGGAGGTAGGGGCCCCAGCCTCACATAGGTGGCAGGCAGGACTTGGGCAAGCAGCTCAGGCCAGGGTCGCTCAGGCTAGCCCCATTTGGTGTTCCGTTTTCCCTTTGGGAAATATGGTCTCACTAATACACACTTTAAAGCATATATATGATAAAATACTTGTACCTGAAAAACCATAATAGGTTTGAAAGGTATGAACAATGACTTGCTTCCTTGCACAGCTGTGTTTTTTATGACAATATCAGCAAATTCATTTTGGCGATGTTGGCTGACCTAATGCTTACAAATCATCATTTGAAATTAAGGTCTGAATGAGCTCTCCCCTGATGGCTAGTGATGAGCTGGGGGGAAAAGGCTTCAGGACCAGACTGTAATTAAATGAACACACCTACTCTGCCTAGGTATCCAGCAGGCAGAGCTGTGTTGCCCAAATGATCAGTTTTGGCTGGTGTTGGGTTACAAATCACTTTTTGCTTTCCACAAGTTACACTTAGTATAACTTTTTATTAGTGATGTATCTGAATATTTGGATGCTAATATTTAAACTGTATTATTAAATTTATTAACCTTAATTTGGGATATTGCAGATTATGTACTATATGTATTTTATGACTTTTTAAACCAAACTTTGTACTTTTGAATAATTTAAGCATTATACCCAAATGAATGAAACTATTTCTTTAACCTGTGTATTAGATAATTTTAGCATTAGCTTTAATAAATAAATTTAAATTGAATGCAGGGGTAATAAAATGTGGTTATCCTTATTGTATGAGTAAAGGGCAGCAAAACTGTATTTAGCCTGTCCTGTTTGTGGGGGTCACCCTCAATTGAACTGAACTCACTAAGCAGGGTGTTCAGATGCCAGATCCCCGTTGAGAGTGAGGATAGGTGTTTTGTCTGGTGGTGTGGGCTCTGCCTAAGGCACCACTGGTTACAGGCACCATTTGACTCCCCCTTGCTCCTGTTTAAAGATGGAGCTGATTAGACTCCATTGAGAGTCTTTTATTAGAGCTGAAATTACTGCTAACCACTTCTAAGTGCTTAGGCCTGCTCTGGGACAGGGTTTCGGTGGACCATGCTGCCTAGCCTGCACGAGCAGTGAGGTTGCCCCACTGAGAGCTGAAATCATTGGGAGCTGGGTGGAACTTCAAGAGACCAACTCTCAGAGGTCACAGTAGAGAGGCAGGTGGCAGCGGAAGGTGGTTGTCAGGATTCTCTCCCCACTCTGGGGAACAGATGTGGGGACCTGCATGAAAGACCCCCTAAGCATAGTTCTACCAGTTTAGGTTAAAAACTTCCCCAAGGCGCACATTCTTCCTTGTCCTTGGGCGGTATCCCTGCCACCACCAAGTGAGTTAGACAAAGATTCAGAAAAAGGACAACTTGGAGTTCCTATTTCCCTGAAATATCCCCCCCTACCCCTTCACCCCCTTTCCTGGGGAGGATTGAGAATAATATACCAACCAAAAAGGTAATCAAGGTGAGCACAGACCAGACCTTTGGGTTTTTAGGACACTGAAAACCAATCAGATTCTCAAAAACAGAATTTTATTATAAAGAAAAAAGTAAAAGAAGCACCTCTGTAAAATCAGGATGGAAGATAATTTTACAAGGTAATGAGATTTAAAACACAGAGAATTCCCCTCTAGGCAAAACTTTAAAGTTACAGAAAACCAGGAATAAACCTCCCCCTTAGCATAGGGAAAATTCACAAGCTAAGACAAAAGATAATCTAATGCCTTTCCTTCTTATTACTTACAATTTGTAATCTTAGATGCTTATTTCAGGTAGGATATGTGTTTTTTCCTGCCCTGGTCTCTCTTTGTTCCAGAGAGAACAACAAAAGACCCCACAAACAAAACCTCCCCCCATAGATTTGAAAGGATCTTCTTCCCTTATTGGTCCTTTTGGTCAGGTGCCAACCAGGTTATTTGAGCTTCTTAACCCCTTACAGGAAAAGGAGGTATTTTATGCTACCCTTAGCTGTATGTTTATTACAGTGGTGATGCAGGGCCTTTGGTGATGGAGCAGATGATGGAATGGTGGCATGAAGAACAACAGCAGATGGAGGAACGAGCAAGTTCCCAACCCCCCGAACCCATCGGGGTGGGAGATGAATTCATGTGAAAGCATCTCTGTACTCTGGGTCTCCATTGACCAAGGACAACAACTGTGAGTGAGGAGGGGCACATTAAAGGAACATTTGTCTGTTGGACTATGTTTTAGTGACTTTGCTCCAGACTGCTAGACTTGTGACTGGGAAACATATAAATGTATGCTTCCTGGTAGGCCAAGTTTTTTAAAATGCATTATTTGCCAAGGTTGTTATCTCGCATCATTGCTCTCTTGAGAGGTCACTATCTTGGGGAATTTCTGTACTAAAGATTTTATTATTATATCATAATTTTTTCAAACGTCAATTTAAATTAAATACATTTTTGAAAATTTGTTTTGTTTTGTTTTAGAAATCTTTTATGTGATTTGGTATTATTTGCATTATCATTATGTTAAATTTACAGTATCCTAAGAAAACATTTAATTTATTCATATCTGTTTCATAGTTGCAGGTCAAAGTGAAGATAAAAAGACCAAAAAAATTTCTTTCCACTGAAAGGCATCAGAAACGAACCAATATGAAGAACACACCAAGAATATACCAACACGTCAGCTGACTGTTCAAGTGCTGTATCTACATCTGAACAGCCCAAAGCACAAATAGTGCTATCTACTGAAGAAACAGTGTGTACACAACCTGAAGACAGTTCCCGATGTTTGTCAGTCAAAGTTTTCCCATTTATTGAAGTTACAGAAGATGGTTACTGGTGCACCTCTTGCAAAAAAGCTTATGAAGAAGAAAAGCTTCCCACTGCTACAACTGGTAAAACTGGAGGAGCTTGGTTTGCCAGACCAATCACCAAATTAATGCTGACAAACTACATGAAAAGGATACAAAATACCAAGCCTCTGGACTGCATCAACATGCAGAAAGCCCTATAAGCCAGTCTCTGTCAAAGCCAATCTTAAAAGTACTTAATGAGGCTGTTAAGAATGCTGGAGACACAACATAGTTTATGCAAACAAACATGGCTGTCAAATCATTCTTTCTGTTTAAGCAAGAGATATGACACACTACAAACTGGAGCCAGGGCCGTCCTTACCCATACGCAAAGCACGCAGCTGCGTAGGGCACCACCAAATTTCCTAGTGCCCTGTGCAGCTGCATGCTGCTCCAGCCCCTGCTCTGGCTCTTCCCCAGACCCACTCCCACTCCCCTTTAGATTGCAGCCAGGCCTGATCCTGCACTCACTGCATGGTAAGTGGAGCGACCTGGCCCCAGCCTGCTCCGCTCCCCTGGCTCCCAGCCATGCTGCTGGCGACTGCCGGCGGTTACCCCCTCCCCACAAGCCTGGGAGCCAGGGGAGCAGAGCAGCCTGGGGCCCAAGGCCTCCGCAGGTGGGAGCGGGGGGATCTGGCCCCAGACCTCCGCGGGGTCACTGTGTGGAGCCCCAGGCCTCTGCGGGGATGAACACTTCCTGCAGGAAGTGGAGTGACCCAGCCCAAGCGTGCTCCGCTTCCCTGGCTCCCAGGCTTGGGGGGAGGGGGGAACCGCCCGGCGCAGCTGGGAGCCAGGGGAGCAGAGCAGGCTGGGGCCGGGTCACTCCACTTCCCGCAGGAAGTGGCCAGCCCCCGTTCCCCACGGAGGCCTGGGGCCAGCCCCCCCATGGAGGCCTGGGGTGGGGCACCACACAGCCCCCCCCAGAAGGGGGCTGCATAGGGCATCAAAATAGCTAGGACGGCCCTGACTGGAGGCCAATGTTAAATGCATTGTCACTTGTTAATCATGAAGTTAGACACTGGTTCTGATCAAGACTGGAAAATGCTCACTATCTTTCTACAAGAAACTCAACTGACTGGTTAGAAGCACACGGTGCAACAGTGAAAGACTCAGCAGTTGAAAAAACAAAGAACTTTCTCACTGCATTCAGAAAATGTGCATACATGACTTATGAATGCACCAATGCAAATAGGCATCAAGTATCAAGTCATTGTGTACGTTATCTTGATGTCAGTGGTAGGCCAGTAGATACAGTCTAGATGTTCAGGTTATAAAAGACACATAAGCTGTATCTGTGATATATTAAAAGAGTTAAATGCTTGTAAATTGAACCCCAAAGAGATGGCTCGTTGTGCATTTGATGGACCTACAACTTCTCTGGAAGACATAGTGGAGTACAAGTTTTGCTCAGAGAAAAGTGTAACCCTAATCTTTCCTATGCACACTGCAGAGGCCATCTACTTCAGCTAGTGCTAGTACGAGCTGCAGAATATTCAAGAGACATTTAAAAAAAGCCATAAATTTAATGTCTTCGTACTCTTTCTCCCCGGTCATGTGACTGAACTAATGAGCATATCAATTGAAGGACTGGAAGTACTGTACATATGAGAAGCCACCAAAGATGAATGCACTGCATTGAGAAGTTCATTAACAGAGTTGTGCAAAATCACAACAAGAGGCCAAGAAGGATGTCGATCTAGGGCTTCATACAAGGCTTGAATAGCCAACTTTAATTTATGTGATGATTTTAAACCATGAGTGTTCTGTCAAACCTTTTTTTCCAGTTTTTTTTCCCCATACAGCCCACCTTCACCCTCACAGTTTCATCCTGGGCCCTCACCCCCCTGTAAATTCGAACAGTCTTCCCCCCCCCCCCTTTAAATACATGGACAACACTGGACCCAGGACATGCTGGGGCTTTGACTCTGCAGTGATAGATGTGCAATAGGCTTCTGTGCCTAACTGATGCTCTAGTGACTTCAGTGGGGCACCACGCTGCCACGGGAGACATGCCCTGGGTTTGAATCAGGGTCATGTAGCCAAGGAGGCTGGTTGTCTGTAGGATTCTTGCCTCATTTGTTGCAGTAGTTGGAAGGTGTGTAGTGAGTGAGATGGGATCACAGGAAGAGAAGGAGGGTCTCATGGTTAAGGCAATTCAATACTGCCCTGGAGAACTGGATTCTATCCCTATCTGTATCACAGAGTTGCTGTGTGATGAAGGGTAAGTCACTTACACCAAACCTTTCATAGGTGGCCACTAATTGTGTGTTCCAGATCTGAAAAAGTGTTGATCGCTCTCAGCTGCAATTAAGATCTGTGGGAGCTGTGCTTTGAACATTTAAATGCTGCATAATGCTGAGTGCTCTGACAAGTCAGGCCCTCAAAACAAACACCCCAAATTAGTGGACATTTTATGTTAATCTCTGTGTCTCAGAATAACAATATCACTTCACAGAGGTGCTGTGAAAATAAATTATTGATGTTCATGAAGGCCTGATACACCACAGTGATGGGCACCATAGAAATTTCTAGGAGGAAGTTAATAATTCTGTCTTCACAGCAGCATTTGAACAGAGTGCAGTAAACGTGGCCTGGGGCCACCCATTGAGCAATGAAGATAAAACAAAATATTGAATCACAGCTCGTTCAGTGAGCCCCATCCATCCTGGGCACTGAATAAGGAAGGAGTCCTGTGGAAAAAATAGTTCATGATCATGTAACTAATAATTGTATCCGATGAAGTGAGCTGTAGCTCACGAAAGCTCATGCTCAAATAAATTGGTTAGTCTCTAAGGTGCCACAAGTACTCCTTTTCTTTTTTGCGAACCACAGGACAATGGCTCAAGAAAGGGGTGATAATGAGCATAGGGCAGGAAGGATGGCTTAATGAGCTGACTTTTGAGGAGTGCTACAAATCAGAGGGTGCTTGGGGTATGAGAATAGGTGTTCCAAGTGTAAGGGGCAACATGGAAGGAAGCACAAGGGAAAAGAAGGTTGTGATTGGGGGCAGGGGTATGTTAGAAAAAAGTAGTACTTTTGCATTTAATCTAAATCAAGAGTCCTTCGCTGCTGTTACGTGAGTGTGGTGGGGGGGGGGAGATGTTGTCTCAGGGATCAGAATGAGGCTGTCCTGTGACTGTTATCACTTTTGTCTTTGTCATATATCTACATAAGTTGTGTTGTCAGCTTGCAATTGTATAGGTGTCTCACAACACTTGGTGTTTTGCTTAAAGCCCCAGCTCCTGAAGTCATGTTAATACATAAAAATCTCAGCCTGAAGAACAACTCTGTGTGGTTCAAAAATTTACCTCTCTCAGCAACAGAAGTTGTCCAGTAAAAGATATTGCCTCACTCACCTTGTCTCTCTTACAGCCTGGGACCAACATGGCTACAACAACAGGGCAAACACATCTCAGCTTTCACTTATATATATATTTTTTAAAAAAGTTTCAGGCCCTTATGGTTGCAGAGCAAATCTTGAAAATGTGAACTCTGGAGGCTCAAAACCCAGCAGGAAAATAAAAAGAATCCCAACTTCCTGATTTTTTGGGGCCGGTTAATGATGTTTTCCCTGGTTAACGTTGGTAATTCTGTAACTTGCTATCCTACTGCTGGAAATAGGAAGGAGAACAAGGGCCCGTAGCTGGCAGTTCTTGCCTCTTTTATGTTGTTTCTTCTGTTTTGTTGTTTGGGTTTGTTTTCCTCCACAAATCCCAACAGGAATATGGTTTGTAAAAGAACTTTCTGTTCCACTCGCTGTGTCTTGCTCTTGTGTTCTGGTTCGCTCTCATCTGTTTTTCTTTCATGGAAAATATCTTAGCAGAAACTGTGCTATGAAATTGAACTTTTGCTAAACCTTTACACCAGTTTGCCCTGCCCAGTGGGAGTCTGTTTGTCAGTGAAGCCCAGTATAGGACAATAATACCGTAAATGTACAGAGTGGGAAAACTCTTAACCTTTTCTCTGGGATCTTGGTTAGGATCCAAGTTGTGCTTCTATGAGAGTGAATTTTTTCATCCTGTATTCAGTCTCTTGTGGCAAAACCTCCAAGTCTTAAAACTGTCTGATGAAACAGACAATATTGTAATTTGCTGCTTAGGGTAGGCCAAAAATGAGGTAACATGGACTTTGTCTCTATAAGGATTTGTTTTCTAAAATCTCCTGCCATTGTACTACTGTTTCAGTTCCACTAATGGTAGTAAGAGCCATAGGTGCCAACTCCATGAGAGCTCCAGGGCTGCAGGACCCATGGGAAAAATACAATGGGTGTATCCACCAGCGGGCCCCACTGATCAGCTCCTCCCGCTCCCTCCCAGTGCCTCCCCCCTGCTGCGATCAGCTGTTCAGCGGTGGGCAGGAGGAGGGGGTGGAATGGGGCAGGAAGAGGTGGGGTGGGAAGAGGCGGAGCAGGGGTGGGCGCTTGGAGGAAGAGGTGGAGTGGGGGTGGAGCTGGGGGCAGAGCGGGGTTGAGCACCCCTGGGAACTCAGAAAGTCGGTGCCTCTAGTAAGTGTAGGAGAACTAGTGACCACCAGCATTTTAAGCACCATGTTCTGCAGACTTGCCCTGAGCTGGATTAGATAATGTGGTGCTTAAAATGTTGCAGCTGTCTGGAGCCCTGTCTCTACTAGCATTGTCATCAGTGAAGATAAAATGATGGTAGTGCAGTGATGGATCATAAGAAAAAGCTTAGGGCTTGTCCACACTGAAAGTGCTGCAGCAGTGTACCTCCTGGCATAGGCACTCCACCTCCCTGAGAGGCAGTAGCTAGTACAACAGAAGCCCTCCCCTTGCCATAGCACTTACTATACTGAGAGTTAGGTAGGTATAGCTGTATTGCTTAGGTGTGTGGCCACACCCCAGAGTGATGTATTTATACGGCTCTAAATTTGTAGTGTAGATCAGGGCTTAGTGTATGGGGCTCAGGAATTTAAGTGACTTGCTAAAAGCCACTAGCCAATTGATGACAAGCATGTTAGCAAGTGGTGCAGCTGGACTGCTACTAACTGTGCTGCAACTGTAAGTATAGAGAGGCCTAAACTGTAGTTAGCGTTATAGACTCAATCACAGTTTCTGAAATGGTGCTGAACATAGTGGGGTCCCATCTATACTTGCACTTATCTGTTTTCAGCACTGCATCAGCTTTGCCTGTTGTGAGAAGTGGATAGATTTCCTAAAGTAGACTGAAAAGGAGTCCTTGTGGCACCTTAGAGACTAACCAGTTTATTTGAGCAGAAGCTTTCGTGAGCTAGAAACCTAAAATAGACTGGGCTTTTATGAATTTTTAGCACAGCTAGTGACAGAATCCAGGGGCCTTATTCTGCTGCCACAGTGGTGAAAGTATTGGACCCTAGAAGGAGTCCTGACTCCTAATTCCCTGCTCTAACCACTGGACAACACTATTAACCTAACAGGTGCCAGACCCTCATTGTAAACACCAAAAGTCCATTTAATGAGAGATACTATTAGGGCTTACAGCACATAGAGAATTTATCTGGAATCTGCAGAAAGAATAAATATGGAATTTTAAAATGAAACAGTAAACACTCTGAGTGGATTTCTGTGATGCTTCCACTGTAGTTTCTGACATTTTTTGATGCACTAATAGAAAGTGTGCTTCAACCAGTGAGGGCTGACAACTCCTTTCCTACTGTGTCAAGAGACTGGGCAAGTTCCAGAGCCTTGCTCTATTATTAGCCTTCAGACTGCTGACATACAGAGAGACTCGTCAGAAGGACAATCATTTCGAGGCATGTGTGCCTGCTTTAGGGATTTACAGTATTTACAATGTGACAGACAGGTCCAGTGTGAAAAGTTGTCAGCCCTGGCATTGAACTGCCTGTGTTTCTAAGTATCCGACCCTTGTTTGCAGCTTCTTTATGTGAGCAGAAATAGTCTCATTTCTGTCTGCAAAGCTGGGCTCCTAGACTGAGCTAATCAAAGACAGCTCAAATAACTGCCAAAGGCCTCAGATAAATGTATTACTGGGCTAGCCCCAGACTACTTCAGAGCTTAGTGCTTTGGAGACCTGTGTGTTAGGTTAACTCAGGTGCTCTTCTATCTAAACAGCAGACAGATGCTTTCAGCACCTAGGGAGGGAGGTACACTGTGCGTTTACTCCTTCCCCAGCCAGCCTCTAAGTGGCTTTCGAATCTTGGAGACTACTAGCCTTCTAATCTGAACCACATTGAGAGCCATCATTCATATAGGAAAAGTCTCTAATTTTTAGGATCAGCTGCTATACACATAGACATTAATAAAGATTCTGTACATTAGTCAAATATAGCAATGGCGGGAGTATTATTTTAGCCTGACCACTGGTGCCACATGTTTATTACCCTTCCCCCACACCAGGTTTTATTTATTTAGATTATGGTAGAATCTAGAAGCCCCAACTAACATCAGAGCCCCACTGTCTAGACACTTTACATACCTGTAGTAAACTACAGTGCCTGTCTTGAAGAGTTTACAGAGAAGTCAGATAAACTGAGGGGAGGTGGCTCAGCAAGGGGAAGTGACTTGCCCAAGATCACACAGGAAGTCAGTGGCAGAGTCAGGACTTGAACCTTGGGATCTTGGACTCCAACCCCAGGACCCGCCCCTAGTCACCAGACCTCATGCCTCTTTTCCTCGTTAATCTCACTTGAATGATTGTCTTTGAAGTTTAGAAAAGTGTTTCAAACATTTTTCCACATTCTAATAATTTTGGGGTGTAATTCATCATTCTGGTGGTTATTAATAACAATTAAAAATAGGATTTTTTTATTATGTGTGTAAGAAATAACTCCATTTTATCTAGCTAAAGATTCACAGCTTCAAAGTCAAGCAAGTTGCAATCCAGAGTAATTACTATCTTTGAATGACAGGTTTCAGAGTGGTAGCCATTTTAGTCGTATCAGCAAAAACAACGAGGAGTCCAGATTTATTTGGGCATAAGCTTTCATGGGCTAGAACCTGCTTCATCATCTGCATGGAGTGGAAATACAATAGCAGGTATAAATACCCAGCACATGAAAAGATGGGAGTTGCCTTACCAAGTGGGAGGTCATTCTAACAAGACAATTCAATTAACAATAGGATACCAAGGGAGGAAACATCACTTTTGTAGTGGTAATGAGAGTGGCCCATTTCAAACAGTTGACAAGAAGGTGTGAGTAACAGTAGGGGGAAATTAGTATGGGGGAAATTAGGCTTTATAATGATCCAACCACTCCCAGTCTTTATTCAGGCCTAATTTGATGGTGTATACCTGGTACACCTGGTTTATACCCAGTTTTTGTATGAGTATAACTATGTTAGGGGTGTGATTTTATATATATATATATAGGTATACCAGTACAACCCCAAGTGTGGGCAGTTATACTGGTTGTTCGCAGTTCCCACACAGGAATAAGCTCTACTGTTATAACTGTATCCACACCTGAGGAGTTGTTCTTCCTTTAACTATGCTGGTATAGTTAAAGGCATACAAGTTGCGTGTGTAGAAGGCAGTGATAATAATGAATTAAATTTAAAAAAACATACATTTTTCCTGTGTCTCTGCTGTAACGGTGATAAGAGAGGTGGTGAAATAAAAGGGAGAAACCCCCAATTACAGTAGACAGGTCTTTTTCACCGGCACCCAGGGTCTGTCACCTGTGAAGAATTTATCTGGTCCACTCCTCCCACCTATGTACGTGTATGCAGAGAAAGAAGAGGAGAGAAACAAAGCTCTTCGAAAACACAAACAGTTTATTTGGGAATAGCAACAAAGATAGAAAAGGGGAAAACTATTAACCGTAAACAGATAAGCAGTTGTGGTTGCCTCTATGGGTATTAAACCTGGGCCCCAAATACTCCTCACGTGGTAACAAGTAAAATAAAGGAAAGCAAAATACCCCAATATTCTACTCTGTCAGAGGCTTCTGGGCAGATGATGTTAAAATGCTGTTTCTTTCGTAGCTGGTGTTTGGAGGGCCTGGGACCTCAAATCGCCTGCCGACTGATTTCGGACCGAGGCAAGAGGAACACAGGATCGGACTGGATCTGGAACCAGGTAAATTAGTGACTCTGGATATACAGGATACCGGACAGATAAGTTCAATTAGA